TAAATCTTCAAAACAATTAACACAATTCTCAAAAAAGTCAAAATATAAGATTGATTTAGTTACAAAAAAACACATCTCTTTTATACATAAAATGCAGAGGATTAGAAAAAAATTTCCTAAATGTCATTTCATAATAGTTTTTTTGTTCTTTTTTTCAATGCAGAAAATTATGATTCTAAAGCAAAATTCAAAAACTACTCTGTTAATAAAATATTCTAGATTGAATTCATTTGATTTGAATACTTTAAGTATTAAACTTAACTTATTTTAAATAATGACTTTACTTTCATCTTTCGAACATTCCACATGAAAATATTCATGTAAATAATACATAACTTTATTGTATCTAAAAAATAAACTACTCATCGATTTCATAAATCTCTCAATCTTTTTTTTTTGTAGTATATTTCTTATATTTATATTTTATATATATGAAGTATTTTACTTTTGAAAGAAAATAATTTTGTTTGAAATCATATATAAATTTCATCATAAATTTCTTCTTTTATTGATTCATTTAAAATATATAAATGAATAATGAAAAACAAAAACACATTTTATCTATCGAAGAAGACAACGTTCAGGAATACATTTTAATGCTTCGAACCAATTATTATTATTGTGTTTAAGTGTCATTAATATATTATATACTTGATTAAGTGATAAAATAGTACTTGCACTTTCTGAAAATCTATATATAAATAATGAAAATAAATTTAATTAATTGCATATTATTTATAAAATATACCTAAGATATTTTTGAAGTGGTAATGATTGATGTCGAATTTGTTCATGTTTAGCTTTTTCTAAAGTAATTTGTTCATGTTTTGCTTAAAAAAAAAAGAATTTTGTTTTTATTGTAAAATTCAAATCAATTAATCAATCATGCAAAATGAATTTACTTTTTTGAAATATTCCACCAAGTATATAAATAACATTATGTTCATATTCACTCATTATATTAGGTGAATCAGGTGATAAATAAACAAGTTGTTCTCGAGAAAATAAGTCAAGATAGGAAAGTGATGTTGTTTGACAATAAGGACTATTTTGTAACCATTTATCATTATCATTCGAAGAAAAATTACATAAAATAAGAAAAGATGGTGAATGATATCGATGAAGAAGAGTAAAACATGAATGAATTTTTAATTGAAGTCTTTCATAATAATTATTTTCAAATGAAATATCATTATTATATTCATTAGCAAATGAACAATCGATAATGACATAATCATTGAGACGAGCAGCAACAAGTAATTTAGTTTGACGAAGTTGACGTTGAAGATTAAATAAATGTTGAGGACAACGAAGAAAATGAAAATAATGAAGAGATGATGATGATGACCACCACCACCAAATACGATAACAATGTCGAAAAATCATCATAATTAATTATCTGATAAAAAGAGTGGAATATGTTCATATTATTTACATTTTGTTCCATATTTGAAAAATTATTAACTAGAAAAAAAATTATAAGAAATAAAATAAAATCTATAATTACTTTTCAAGACATCGATTGGTAATAACAAATAGTCAAATGATGTAATAAACGTAAGAGTTCACTAGTAGTTAGAATAACTATATTCAATTTTATGATAATTTTCATTTCAATAATTAAATTAAAACAAAAAAATATTAAAGATTGTTCAAAGATATATCATGTGTGTTTCTATCATTGTTGCATTAATATTGAAATCATATTTACTATACACAAGTAACGCTCGTCTGTGAGACTCGCTTGACCGTCGACTGAATCCAATTTTATCATCATCTATCATTGCTTGCTGGATTCTATTTTGAGAACTATCGCTGAATATAGATACACACACACAGAAAACTTGTATACTATTGCCGGTGACAACCACTTTGTAAAATGACCTGGCTTTTCAATTTTTCTCTTGAGATTTTCCAAAGTGAACCGTAAGAGATAGCTCGCAGTCAGTGTTTATATAATCATTTCATTTTTCCATAAAATATTAATTTTCTCGAGTATGTAAAGCACGATTAAACATTTGACAGAGAAATGCATCTCTTGTATATTACCAAATAGCTATGTTTGATGTAAAATTTCATTCAAGTTCATCGGAAAAAGTCAATTCTAGTGTGTGATTAGTATAATGAAAACAACGAAATCAATTTCAAATTAGTTTCACGATCTTGAGTGAGAATAACAGATTTTGATAAGAATGTATAAGTGTGAAAGTAATTGTTTATAAATCTATCGGATATTCATATGATTTTTTGGGTGGTACTGACGATGATATTCCATCATCCCTTTGAATTTTACTGACCCCCACAAAACTACATAAAGCTATGATCTTTTAATTCAAATATATGTCTAAGCAATCTCTACATATTTAAAAGTTTGCTTTTTATTTTACGAAAGACAACGCTTGATTTGATATTTACCACAATAGAGTGATAGTTTATGATGAGCTATAGTGAGTCATTGAATACAGTGTCTGACTGAATTGTCGTCTTAAAGATGAATGATTATGTATTGATGATGATTCTGTTTGGATATGAATAACAAAACTATCAAATGTATATCAGAAACCAAGTAATTAAAGATAGTCGAATTTGAAATTAGCCAGTGTATAGTATTTTACATGAACAATTACATAGAATTGAAGTCTGTTCCATATGAACGTTACATTCGTTAATATCGAATTAGTGACATGTCGTTCGTCTTTAGAAACATAATCAACGGTTGGTCGTCCGTTTTCAAAATCGGCGAATAGATTTAAAAATCATAGTGTATAATGGAGTATTAGTATAGAATGCAAAAAAAAACTGATCCCTAACACTATTTATTAATATTGTTACAGTTTTAGAATAAGTTAACATAATAATATATGTAGTATGTAGTGTAATTAATTTACAACTTAATGCAATAAAATTGGAAAATTATTTCATTCTCTCCCAACGAAAATAAAGACAGTTTGAAATCCAGTCGTGTTTTGAAAATTCCTGATTTTAAAAAATTTTGAGAAGATTGTAAATAATGACAGAGTTTTCACAAATTATAATAATTTATACACAAAATAACCATTACATTATAACACGTATCCTGCAGTCTATGTTATCTACTCCACTATTTCATATAATTTTCATCACGAATACTTTGACTGTTAAAATTAAATTTTCAAATATATGATAAAGAAATAAGTTCACATAGATGGAAAATAACAACTATTATTTGATTTAAATTTTAAATTGTAAGATTGTGTAAAACTATTCATGTATATATTTGTATATATTGCACATTCACTATTGTTACTGTTATTATATAATTCAGCTCTTTTGTAATTATTAAGTAATATTCAGTTACATTTCAATCTCGAGGGATCAGTTTTTTTTTTGCACTCCGTACTATCATTGTAAATTGCCATTTTACAATCATAGATATTCAAGAGTAATTGGTTCTTAAGAAAACAAAACTTTAATCAGATTTCTGGTTTTCCATCAGCGAGCTAGAAGGTGTTCAGTAAAAGTTCTTGCTATATTTCTGCACATATATTTTTATATAGCAGAGCCTATGGTATCTATGGTTAAAGTTTTGCATGAATTATGCAGACACAGCAATACGAATGCAGTAACAGTCCTCGTTGCTTTGCAATAAAGCCAATCCAAGAAAATTTTGAAGACCCTACATATCTCATAGATTATCACCTTAAGAACAGTTAGTGAGCATGAATCATGAAGTAATATTTAGAAACATTGAGAAATTATTATAAACAAAAAAAAATTTAGATGATTGAATATTGATAATCATTTCTAAAAATAAAATTAACAGGACTGGCTCTCAAACGAAACTGGCTATAATGAATTTGATGTTTAATCATATCACAATTGAAACTATTTCGTTCAGCTTCCATCCAGAATCAAGTCGACAAAAAATCAAACGGTTGGATTTAATGTATCTGTACTGCGACAGGTAAAATATTCTGTGAGATTCAGGAATCTTCTGGGTGATTTCGTCGATAAGTGTTATTAAAAAAATGATCGTAAAATATGATAACATTACTCTTTTCATTAATATTAATATTTGAAAAAAAATCAATATCTATTAACACATAAAAGATTTCATTAGTCTTTTTAATCTTTATTACTATGAGAATATAATTTAAAAAAATATGTCACTCAAAGAACTGTTCGTAAAGTATAATTATACTGGACAGTGCTTTATATAATTAGCAGCAACTTCAAACTTTTGTACTCATATTTCGTTTACTTCTTTCACTTTCTACTACGATATTTAAAATGACTCACTTTCTTATCTTTTCACTCATGTGACTGACTAGCAGATGCCACTTTCAATATATATATATTATTTCATTCGAGAATAGATATCCTTAATATCTCTTATAAACTTTAGACATTCATGTATTATTCAAAGATTCATGGCAACGATTACAGATAATGATAAATTTGTTCTAAATGCTATCTTTAATCCAAATTACCCATTAGATTTCGACCAAGAACCATCAACTGACTCAGAAAATGAAAGTGAGAATTGTTTTTTTTTTTTTGTTTGAATGTTATATTTCATGTAACTATGTTTATTTAACTTTTAGAACAGTCATTAGAAATCAAAAAATTGGAAGAAGAAGGTATATTTAAGATGTCTATTCAAATTTACTGTTCTTATTGTTTTATATTATTTAGGAGTACGATTAGCTGAACAAAATCGTTTAATTGAAGCTGTTGAATATTTTAGTCGAGCTATTGCACTGAACCCTCAAAACGCATCGGCTTACAATAATCGAGCTCAAGCTTACCAATTATTAAGCAAGACTGAAGGTTAACTAGATTGTTTTCTTCATAGCTCAATTAGTTTCATTTTTATTTGTTTTATTTTTAGAAGCTATGGTTGATCTGAGCAAAGCAATTGATTTATCTTCAAATGTAAAAAGTAATCAAAAAACTTTATCTTTGGCATTAACACAACGTGGAATTCTCTATCGATTTTTGGGTAGGACAAAAAAAACGTCCTTTAGTTTATGTTCAATTGTATTATTTAGGTGATGAAAAAGCATCATTGGATGATTTTACACGCGCTGCAGAACTTGGTTCAGCATTTGCCAAACAACAAATACTTTTGTTAAATCCTTATGCAGCTGCTTGCAATCAAATGCTTTCGAAAATGATGAAAAATATGTCATGCACATCATAAGTTATTGATTCTTATGATGATTTGTTCTTTTCAAATGAATTTCATTGTTCGTTTTGGTTTCTCAAGAAAAAAAAAACTCAAATAAAAAGATAAAACATTGATATTTTTTCTTTGACTCATATGTCAATGCAAAATCGCTCGATTAATCTTTTCCAAGAGTTTTATTTCACAATTGACTGTATTAGACACTATTTAAAATGTGCCGTTAAAGATTTCTTCCAGAATATAACTAATGAATTATCTGTAAAGTATTACTGAATATAACAGGTAGTGCAGAATAAATTAGATTGTTAATATGTTTAATGTCTGTCCTCTATTCTTCATTTGATTGAAACATTTTTTTTCTCAAAAGATAGTGCTTGAAATTCGGCATAAAATGGTATATTTTATTTAACAAATATGGTTTCTTCCATCATTTTTTGATAAAATGTAATCGCATATAGTGTAGCCCAGTACAGAACTTAAAATTTTTTCTTTTTCTATTTTTTTGACAGAACGTTTTATTTCGTCTATCAATGTTACTTTCTTTGTCATATAGTTTTAATTCATAATCTCAGTCAGTTCATTCCGTAAACCGTAATCTAGCGGATTTAAATCAGGCAGATTCAATGACTAATGATTCTTCGATATGATTGTACCAAAACAGTCTGTATATCACTTTTTCACTGAAGTAACGCATTTTAACCTTGAAAATATTCCACTAACGCCCAGTTTGAAAAATTAGGAGTAGATGTCTATTTCGAGTTCGAATACAAATGAAAAGTTTAAAAAAAAAGGCTTCCATGTTGAAATATCAAAAAGGCAAAAGTTTAAATTTATACATGTATAAATTGAAAGGCACACCTCTATTGAGATAGGAAAAAAGCAAAAGATAACATTTTTATCTGGATTATAATTCTAAGTCTAATCGGAACTATTCTCATCATTGTGTACACAAAGTCGTGCATGGGTCGCGACTCTTCGGGGAGCGGACACTACGCGCCCCTACACTGGCAATGCTGAGATAAAAGATTAGTTACGCCGGACAAAGCTCAGGTGAACAAAGAATGGGTAAAAAGACTAGTCGTTTTTCTCGTTATGACTATACGTCATGTCTAATCTTTTTCTCAAAAGTCCTCTACCATAACTAGTCCAAAGTCGTCTGGAGTCTTTAATTCACATCCTGACTACGTAACTGACTGGCATTATTCTGTTTGTTATGAATAGTCTTTTTTGAGAAAAAGAGTAGACATGTTATGCTGCCCAAAACAGATTTTAAAATCAAAAAATGTAGAGCGTCCGAGACGCTGCATCTAACACATTGTAGTCTTATGTAGTGGTCTAGTATAGACTAGTATAAATGATAGAAATATAAGGCAGAAGGTTAGACATGAACATGCATAGAAAATATAACTCGTCCATCGTTTGATCGATTGAACTATACGATCGAGTAATCAATTTTTACATGTCAATATACATTCTAAGTTACTATTTAACACAGTTATTCAGAATTGTTCAAGTCTTGATATGAATCGAAAATATTTATCATAAAATCCAAAATTAGATATACAGGACAGAAAAAAATTAATTCAAAATTTTTTTATTATTTTTATCAAAAATAATTCTTTTAATCATCGACATTTGGAAGAAAATATTTCGTATTGGAAAAGACAATTAAAAATTCAAAAACAAATTAAAAATAATAAAATTTAAAAAAAAAATTTTCCATATCATAATTTATATTTATTTTAACTTAAAACTTTTCCAATTTAAACTTGAGCATAAATTAAAATTCTATACTTTAAATCCATTTTTAAATTCAAATCAGCAGAATTAATACTTAAAATAAAATTCCCATATAAAGATACCAAAAACTATTTTTTTCATAAAATTAATCTTAGTTGTTTTTCCAATCGATAAATTTTATAAGACATAAATTAGCAACTCTCATTAAGACGTAAACAATTACTTTGTAATTTTATCTGCTTTTTTTTGTGCTTCAATATATTTTTGTAGTCTTAGTATAAAAAGTACAACATTTTTATTCTTGTAAAGGTACTTGATAGCTATCTGTTGGTATAGGACAGCCAAAATTGCTAAATTACGTATGGTCAAATATTCAGTCAACTCTTGATGTCACTGTTAGTTTTGAAAGATTCTTTTCATTTGAAATAATAACAAAGTGATTATTAATTTACTGTCTGATTTATATTCTAAAAGCATCTAATTCTCAATCAGCATTTGTAAGAGATAATGTAAATGCTCAAAAACTTCCTTGAACTACATTACCTATCTTTCTAGTCCTAATACGAACCAGTCTAATGGAATTATTCGGACAGTTAGATCTAAGCAAGAGAGACTATTTGAAGAGTTTAGACTAGTGTGAACTAGGATTGACATTACCTTCTCGAATACGAACTAGTCATGACCAGTATAAATGACCTTTCACACTAGTCCGTGTCACTACAGCAAACAATCCAGACTAGTCAGGCTTTCAATATTGTCGGATTGAATGTTCAAGCCCGCCTATCATCTCCTTGGCTTCTGACTTTTTCTTCCACTGACGAGTCTGGATAGTATGAATGGACAAAATGGACTAGTCATAATGTGGTGTGAGCATGACGTGGACTAGTCTATGATTTGTTACACGACATTTCTCGTAAACAAGACTAGTCCTGAAGAACTGCAAGACAGTTCGGACTAGACCAGATGGTAGTGTGGACATTTTAGACTAGTCATATTGGATGTTCTCCCTTATTTATCAAAAGGATGTGTCTTCAATTTATAAATTTATAATTTATATAATTTTAAACTTTTGCTTTTTTACTATTTCAACAAGGAAGCTGTTTTTTTTTTCATTTTTCAGTTATTTTCAAAGTGATCAAAGATACTTAGCTCTTCATTTATATTTGAACTCAAATTAGGCAATATATAAAAATTAGTTCACTCTTTTTGTGCAGATCAGTCACGGTTGACTCTTTGACTTTCTGTTATGAGAAATAGTCCAGATCTTCATGCGCAATAGCAGTAGTACGTAATTTGTTTCAATAGGCAGTTTTCTTGTTGACATCCATTTTTTTGAAAAGTAGACGCCATTTCACTATTGAAATATTCACTTTTGTTCGAACTATGTGTAGACGACTGGAATGGTATGATAAATTGATAGAGCCAGTGGTATTGATCATTTTTATTCATAATTGAATTGTTTGTAATGAAATCACATTGGCCAAATCATGATAAATTTTCGTCGAGCCATCACCATTTTTATATTTATTTTTTACAACTATTTGTACGTTTTTACTTTTCATCTTTTTTCAAATATATCTAAAACAATTTTTGGTTTCAATCAAAAATGGTTTTGTAGAGAATTGACAGCGCCATATGTTGATAACAAAAAAAAGATGTTTTAATCAAATGGAAAATAGTGAGGAGAAAATATTTGAAATACAAATACTCTAATTTATTCTCAGCCAGTCGTCATATTAATATTTTATCACTACGTTTCTATGAAAATTAATTTCATCAAAATTATCATACAACATGTGAAACTCTTTTTCATCATATCATACAAAAAACTTCAGTATATCAAAATGAATTGATTGTACATGAGTTTAAGATTTTCATTGCATTATTGAAATTTTAAGCTTGAGTAAAAAAAAAACAAACAATTTTGATTTAGTATTTTATAAAAGAAAACATTGCCTTGGTTTTTAATGTTAAAAAAGATAAAAATTATATCAATATTGACATTTTATATTAAATTCACTTATTTCTAAGAAGATAGTTTAATCATTTTCTTTATTTATCATCTCACGAGAAATTCAAAGACACCCTGTGTTTTTTTTTCGTCGACGTGGCAAACAAAATAATAAAATCACAAATTTTTATCTGAATCATATTCTTCTTTCACTTCTTTCGTTAATCATTTTAAAATGGGAAAAAAACGAATAAAAATATTTCTCTTACACCAAATGATGCATTATTTCTTTTTGTTGTGAATATTCTACTAGACAAATAAACACACACACGACTTTTTCATTTGGTTATTTCCAGCCACTAGCATTCTCCATAGTGACGCATATCTCCAATGTTAGTGACCGTGTTTGAGAGTATGATGCATATATAATCAAGCAAGGAAGAACAAGAAAGAAAAAGAAAAAAATAATAAAAACAAATACAGCAGAGCTTTTTTTTCTCGTTATTCTCGATCTTTCTCGATTGTTCTATTCTTTTTTTCTAGACTTTATATAAGCGTCAGTCATATTTCCATTTTACTTGCATTTCTCTCTCGTCAACATTCTCTTCGTATACTTTAAATCTTCATCAAACATTTTCTTTGTGTTACAATGTCTGACAAAATGGAACAAGATTCAAGTGATGGTGAAACATTTGCATTTCAAGCTGAAATAGCTCAATTAATGTCATTAATTATTAATACATTTTATTCAAATAAAGAAATTTTTTTACGTGAACTTATTTCAAATTCATCGGATGCTTTGGATAAAATTCGGTATGAATCACTTACTGATCCAACTAAACTTGATACAGGAAAAGAATTATATATTAAAATTGTACCGGATAAAGCCAACAATATATTAACTATTATCGATACCGGTATTGGCATGACAAAAGTAAGTTTAAAAAAGAAACAAAAAACATGATTTTTTAATCAAAATTAAATATTTATTATGTTTAGGCTGATCTTGTTAATAATTTGGGTACAATTGCTCGATCAGGTACTCGTGCTTTTATGGAAGCACTTCAAGCCGGTGCTGATATTTCAATGATTGGTCAATTCGGTGTTGGTTTTTATTCATCTTATTTAGTAGCTGATCGAGTAACAGTTACATCAAAACATAATGATGATGAACAATATGTATGGGAATCAAGTGCTGGTGGTTCATTTACCATTAGACGTGATACAACTGGTGAACCACTTGGTCGTGGTACAAAAATTGTTATGTATCTTAAAGAAGATCAAACTGAATATCTTGAAGAAAAACGTACCAAAGAAGTTATTA